TATATATATATATATATATATGCAATAAGATCACAGTAAACAGGTGATTTCAGAATATGCAAAACAACCACTCTGAAAAAATAGAGAAATTCCAAGCGCTTTCGTGACTACTCACATTATCAAGGAACTATGAAAGTAAAGCATCCAAGGAAGCTATATAAGGGGTCTGGCCAACACCTCACTATCAGATCCCACAACGGTTAAACACCTGACGCGCGCCGACCCAACTTGGATAGGTCCTTTGCACAACTCGCCCACAAACTATTATACCCAAGAAAATTAAAAAATTTATTTGTCCAGTGTATTATTAAATTCTTCCCAAATTCTATTAATTATAAATGAATCTAATTCATATAAACCAAAGGAAATATTCATATTATTGTCAAAACTGCTTTTTATGAAACAAGATTCAATTATATTCCTGTCGACCATGGACTTGCTTGATACTACTTTCTCAACTTTTTGAAAATCAATTGGATGGTTAAAATCTCTTACATGAATAAATAGAGCATTGGAATCTTGTCCAGTTCTAATGCTATATTTATGTTGTTTAATCTTAGTTCGAGATTTTTACCAGTTTGACCGTAATAAACTTTATCGCAAATTTTACAAGGAATCTTATAGACACATCCCATCAGCATTTTGGGGGAAATTCTTTATCAAAAGTTTTTATTACTGTATCAAGATTTTTGAATACAACTTTAATATTAAAAGTCTTAAGAAGAGAAGGCCTATCAACCAAGTTTTCATGGTAAGGGATAACCAACATATTTTTAGTTGAATAAGGCTGGTTGTCCCTTTTTGGATTGTAAAAAGTATTTCTAGCAACTTTAAAAGATTTATCAATTACATTTCTTGGGTATTTTAAATCATTACCTATTTCATAAATTTTGGATATTTCCTCATCTATGAACTCAGGACTACAAATTCGTAAAGCTCTCAAAAACATTGATGAGAAAACAGACAATTTGACTCTATCTTGATGCGAGAAATAATAGTGGACATAGGAACAGTTATTTGTAGGTTTTCTGTAAATTTTAAATTTGAATTCATTATTACCCTTAATAATTAAAACATCTAGAAAAGGCAATGAGTTATTTTCTTCAAACTCAACAGTAAAGTTTATAGAATGTGCTAAGCTATTTAATTTTCCAAGGAAATGGTGTATATCTACATTTTGGGCATAAGACACAAAATATCATCAACATATCTGAACCATTTACCTCTATTAGGGAGGATTATGTTAAGCATCCTTGTTAAAAAATTCCATGTATAGGTTACTAAGAACAGGTGAAAGAGGATTTCCCATTGCCATACCAAACTTCTGAGTGTAAAACTTATCATTAAATACAAATTTTGCATCAACAATGCAAAGTTTAATAAGTTTAATGATAGTAGGAACTGGCAATGGTAAATCATAGTTAACGAGTTCTTCAGATAAGAAACTTAATAAATCATCAACAGGAACTTTCGTAAACAAGGAAGTAACATCAAAACTAACCATGTTAAAATCATTTAAGTCAGTCAAGAAGCTTAATTTATCAACCAAGTCTATGTTGTTTTTAACATTAAAGTTAGAAATTTTGCCAACAATAGGGCTCAAAATATCAACAAGCCATTTGGATAATTTATATGAAACTGACCCTATGGAGCTAATAATTGGTCTGACTGGATTCCCTGGTTTGTGTGTTTTTATTAGTTGCTTAACGCAATCCTCCCTAATTACTAAAGCAGACAAAATAAATGCAATAGTAATTATGAAAGAAAATGATTACCAAGAAAAAATGAATAATCTCTTAGATGATACTGAAACCTATTCTAAACTTAGGAAAAATCCCCTAGAAACCGTTAACAGCAATTTCAATAAAACAATAAAACTTCTACTGAAAGGCAAAGATGAATTAGTCAAACAATTTACTTCCACTAATCCATCTTTACCTTACATGTATGGACTAATAAAAACACACAAACCAGGGAATCCAGTCAGACCAATTATTAGCTCCATAGGGTCAGTTTCATATAAATTATCCAAATGGCTTGTTGATATTTTGAGCCCTATTGTTGGCAAAATTTCTAACTTTAATGTTAAAAACAACATAGACTTGGTTGATAAATTAAGCTCCTTGACTGCCCTTAAATGATTTTAACATGGTTATTTTGATGTTACTTCCTTGTTTACGAAAGTTCCTGTTGATGATTTATTAAGTTTCTATCTGAAGAACTCGTTAACTATGATTTACCATTGCCAGTTCCTACTATCATTAAACTTATTAAACTTTGCATTGTTGATGCAAAATTTGAAATTTAATGATAAGTTTTACACTCAGAAGTTTGGTATGGCAATGGGAAATCCTCTTTCACCTGTTCTTAGTAACCTATACATGGAATTTTTTGAAACAAGGTTGCTTAACACAATCCTCCCTAATAGAGCTAAATGGTTCAGATATGTTGATGATATTTTGTGTCTTATGCCCAAAAATGTAATATACACCATTTCCTTGGAAAATTAAATAGCTTAGCCCATTCTATAAACTTTACTGTTGAGTTTGAAGAAAATAACTCATTGCCTTTTCTAGATGTTTTAATTATTAAGGGTAATAATGAATTCAAATTTAAAATTTACAGAAAACCTACAAATAACTGTTCCTATGTCCACTATTATACCTCGCATCAAGATAGAGTCAAATTGTCTTTTTCTCATCAATGTTTTTTGAGAGCTTTACGAATTTGTAGTCCTGATTTCATAGATGAGGAAATATCCAAAATTTATGAAATAGGTAATGATTTAAAATACCCAAGAAATGTAATTGATAAATCTTTTAAAGTTGCTAGAAATACTTTTTACAATCCAAAAAGGGACAACCAGCCTTATTCAACTAAAAATATGTTGGTTCTCCCTTACCATGAAAACTTGGTTGATATGCCTTCTCTTCTTAAGACTTTTAATATTAAAGTTGTAATTCAAAAATCATGATACAGTAAAAAAAACTTTTGATAAAGAATTCCCCCCAAAATGCTGATGGATGTGTCTATAAGATTCCTTGTAAAATTTGCGATAAAGTTTATTACGGTCAAACTGGTAAAAATCTCGAACTAAGATTAAAACAACATAAATATAGCATTAAAAATGGACAAGATTCCAATGCTCTATTTATTCATGTAAGAGATTTTAACCATCCAATTGATTTTCAAAAAGTTGAGAAAGTAGTATCAAGCAAGTCCATGGTCGACACGAATATAATTGAAATCTTGTTTCATAAAAAGCAGTTTTGACAATAATATGAATATTTCCTTTGGTTTATATAAATTAGATCCATTTATAATTAACAGAATTTGGAAGAATTAATAATACACTGGACAAATAATCTTTAAAATTTTCTTATTTCTTGGTAGAATAGTTTGTGGGGTGAGTTGTGCCAAGGACCTTTCCAAGTTGGCTCGCCGCGCGTCACGTGTTTAAACCGTTGTGGGATCTGATAGTGAGGTGCCGACCAGACCCTTATATAGCTTCCTTGGATGCTTTACTTTCATAGTTTTCCTTGATAATGTGAGTATCACGAAAGCGCTTGGAATTTCTCTATTTTTTCAGAGTGGTTGTTTGCATATTCTGAAATCACCTGTTTTACTGTGATCTTATTGCATAATATATATATATAATATATAATATATATATATAAAATATATATATATATATATATATATATATAATATATATAAAATTTTATATATATATATATATAATTTTATATATAATATACTGTTTTCAAAGTCTAAGGGCGTTTAATATATCTATCTGTCTATCTATCTATCTAATATATATCTAACTCATAACATATCCGGCTGACAATTTCAAAATACATAAATCCTCACTTCTTCTGAATATATAAAATATATGTTCAAGGATAATAAAATCTTTGTAATTACTAAAACTAATTAGAGAACACTTGTGAGCACCTGTAAACACCTGTGCATTGATTAGTTTTATGTTCTTGCTCAAGATTTTTTAAAATTGTGATTGCTCAAGAATTTTGGTGTTGAGGATCGAATCTGAAGCCTCAGACGTGTGTGTTGTATGGTAGGATGTATGTGTTGTATGGTAGGATGTGTGTACTGTATGGTAGGATGTAGGTGTTGTATGGTAGGATGTGTGTTGTAGGTAGGATGTATGTGTTGTATGGTAGGATGTATGTGTTGTATGGTAGGATGTATGTGTTGTATGGTAGGATGTGTGTGTTGTATGGTAGGATGTGTGTGTTGTATGGTAGGATGTGTGTACTGTATGGTAGGATGTATGTGTTGTATGGTAGGATGTGTGTTGTATGGTAGGATGTATGTGTTGTATGGTAGGATGTATGTGTTGTATGGTAGGATGTGTGTTGTATGGTAGGATGTATGTTGTATGGTAGGATGTAGTGTTGTATGGTAGGATGTATGTGTTGTATGGTAGGATGTATGTGTTGTATGGTAGGATGTGTGTGTTGTATGGTAGGATGTGTGTGTTGTATGGTAGGATGTATGTGTTGTATGGTAGGATGTATGTGTTGTATGGTAGGATGTGTGTTGTATGGTAGGATGTATGTTGTATGGTAGGATGTATGTGTTGTATGGTAGGATGTATGTGTTGTATGGAGGATGTATGTGTTGTATGGTAGGATGTATTGTATGTGTGTATGGTAGGATGTATGTGTTGTATGGTAGGATGTGTGTTGTATGGTAGGATGTATGTGTTGTATGGTAGGATGATGTGTGCTGTATGGTAGGATGTATGTGTTGTATGGTAGGATGTGTGTGTTGTATGGTAGGATGTGTGTGTTGTATGGTAGGATGTATGTGTTGTATGGTAGGATGTATGTGTTGTATGGTAGGATGTGTGTTGTATGGTAGGATGTATGTTGTATGGTAGGATGTATGTTGTTGTATGGTAGGATATATGTGTTGTATGGTAGGATGTATGTGTGTATGGTAGGATGTATGTGTTGTATGGTAGGATGTATGTGTTGTATGGTAGGATGTATGTGTTGTATGGTAGGATGTGTGTTGTATTGTAGGATGTGTGTTGCACGGTATGGTGTGTGTGTTGTATGGTAGGATGTGTGTTGTATGGTAGGATGTGTGTGTTGTATGGTAGGATGTGTGTGTGTTGTATGGTAGGATGTATGTGTTGTATGGTAGGATGTATTGATCAGTGGTTCAGAGAACCCACAAGTTGATAAATTAGACACATGTGCACTTAGACACATGTGCACATGTGTACATTTCTTAGTGTACATAAACTGAGCACCCGGTGAAGAGGCGGGGCCAGGCTCTATGACTCAGCCCTGCAACCACAATTAGACGAGTACCTCTCAGTGTATGTACACTGAGAGATGTACATATCTCAATACATTTTTCCTGTATTCCTCCCTGTATACACATTTAGGAGTACATCTCTAGGTGTACACGTCAGGGTGTACACCTCTGGCTACGTACACAACCTTGAAGTGTCAGTATTCACCTCTCATCATGTCAGCTCTCACAAGAGTGTAAATAAAAATTATCTTATACTGAGTACCAAGATTTTAACATCTTTGTAAACACGTGTGTCACCTGCTCTTCTTCCTCCTACAGCCTCTTACATCATCCTACATCCTCCTACAACCTCTTACATCCTCCTAGAGCCTCTTACAGCCTACTACAGCCTACTACACCTCTTACATCCTCATACAACCTCTTACATCCTCCTACACCCTCTTATATCCTCCTACAGCCGCTTACATCCTCCTACAGCCGCTTACATCCTCCTACAGCCTCCTACACCCTCTTACATCCTCCTACAGCCGCTTACAGCCTCCTACAGCCTCCTACAGCCTCCTACAGCCTCCTACTCTCCCTGGTTCTACTTTCTCCTGGCCCTGAGGTAGAGGCCACAGAATCCTATGAGGTGGAAGGCAACATAGAGTGTAGCCATGAGACACAGGTCCTGGTGTAGGTGCCAATCTTTGAAGGTGTACTTAGAGATAACCTCTTCTCCCGTGGTCAAGCAGGGCACCTCAGGGCCAGTCTCGCAAGCTGTGGGTAACACCAGGTCAACACATTACCGGTCAGGAGGAGGGTTAAGAGGTTAGGGATATAATATATATATATATATAATATATATATATATATATATATATATATATATATATATATATATATATATAATATATATATATATATATATATATATATATATATATAAATGTATATTCATGTAAGCTATCAATGTATTGAAGGAAGAGTGTAAGAAACACGTAAGTTTAGGTCAGACTTACTGATGTTGTCAACTCCTTTCCACTGTGTGATGGTCAAAGCCTCGTTAGTATACATGAACCACGACACGTACTTGACCCAACTTATGTACCATGGCATGGACCTGACGGAGACACAGAGAGATAAGAGAGAAACAAGACACACAGAGAAAGAAACCGAGAGAGAGAGAGAGAGAGAGTGTGTTTAGATATACTAAAATAAAAATAACACGAACTTTTTGATATATTATTTATTTAGAATTGTAGGCCAGTAAATGAAGCTCTGGATGAGCGAAACGTCGACATGTTAAAATCTTAATCTGCTCGAAATGTGTTTATTGCAAAATGTTCTTTCTTAAGCAAGGTGAAGTTGGAGGTGAGCAGAACCAATATTATATCAGGACTTAATTATTATTCGATAAGGGAACTCTTGGAAAAAATAAACACATAAGCAGTATATTGACAACGTTTCGCCCACACAGTGGACTTTATCAAGTCACAAACAGATCTGAATATTAAAATGGCATAAAACAAATAGATCTACCTGGGTGAAAGGTACGTGACTATGTATAGAATGGAGTCAGGTGGAGAATGCTGAGTAGGTTGGATCTAAACCAGCGTGTGACAGTCTTCTGTGTAGGGTGACTGAGTCCTAGGTCCTAGGTCTCAATCACCCTAATTTCGAAAAAATCATTCCGAACCTAACGAAAAAAAATATATTTCATTGTGTTTGATTATTATTAAATTACTGTAAACGTATCTAAAATATATTTAGTTGGATTAGGTTAAATTAAATTGCGCTTGTTATAATAAGGTTAGGTAAGTTTTCTAAGGTTCTTTTGGTACAAACTTAGGTCCTAGGACTTAGGATTCAGTCACCCTACTCGGAAGATTGTCACATGCAGGTTTAGATCCAACCTACTCAGCATTCTCTACCTCTCCATTCTATAAATAATCACGTACCTTTCGCCCAGGTAAATCTGTTTGTGACTTGATAAAGTCCATTGTGTGTTCGAAACGTTGTCACTAAGGGATCACATTATACTGCTTATGTGTTTATTTTTCCATTGTGTTGGTATTTTATACCATTTATTTCCATCCAAGGGAACTCTTACCATACCTAGGTACACACCCTGGTACACACACTGGTACACACACACACTGGTACACACCCAGACACACACACTGGTACTCACGCCAGGTCAATAAAGAGGCCACCGGAGATAAGCAGCATCATGTCGAAGGGGATGAGAATGACCATATTTAAGTGAGTGGCGAACATCAGGCACACTTGTAGCCTAGGGGTTGAATAGTTGTGTGGGGATGAATTGGTTTAAAGGTGGGGATGAATTAGTTTAGAGTTGGGGTGAATGTATTGATGGGGAGGAAATGAAAATTTTGGGGATGATGGGTTTGGGGGGATGGGGTTGACCATGGGGGTTTAAAAAGGGGGGGGTGAACCCAAAATATTATAAAATAATAATAAAAAAACTACTTAAAGACTGAGGGACTGACCACCTCAGACTTCTTAAAGACTGAGGGACTGACCACCTCAGACTACTTAAAGACTGAGGGACTGACCACCTCAGACTACTTAAAGACGAGGGACTGACCACCTCAGACTATTTTAAAGACTGAGGGACTGACCACCTCAGACTACTTAAGACTGAGGGACTGACCACCTCAGACTACTTAAAAAGACTGAGGGACTAAACCACCTCAGACTACTTAGACTGGGGGACTGACCACCCAGACTATTTAAAAGACTGAGGACTGACCACCTCAGACTACTTAAAGACTGAGGGACTGCCCAAACCTCAGACACTTAAAGACTGAGGGACTGACCACCTCAGACAAACTTAAAGACTGGGGGACTGACCACCTCAGACTATTTAAAAGACTGAGGGACTGACCACCTCAGACAACTTAGACTGAGGACTGACCACCTCAGACTACTTAAAGACTGAGGGACTGACCACCTCAGACAAACTTAAGCCCTGAGGGACTGACCACCTCAGACTATTTTAAAGACTGAGGACTGACCACCTCAGACTACTTGAAGACTGAGGGACTGACCACCTCAGACTACTTAAAAAAGACTGAGGGACTGACCACCTCAGACTACTTAAAGACTGAGGGACTGACCACCTCAGACTACTTAAAGACTGAGGGACTGACCACCTCAGACTACTTAAAGACTGAGGGACTGACCACCTCAGACTACTAAAGACTGAGGGACTGACCACCTCAGACTACTTAAAGACGAGGACTGCCCCACCTCAGACTACTTAAAGACTGAGGGACTGACCACCTCAGACTACTTAAAGACTGAGGGACTGACCACCTCAGACTACTTAAAGACTGAGGGACTGACCACCTCAGACTACTTAAAGACTGAGGGACTGACCACCTCAGACTACTTATAGACTGAGGGACTGACCACCTCACCTTTACCTCACCACTGCTTCTGCTGTCACCTTTGTGACAGCAGAATACAAAGGTAATTTTAGTAATATTATCAGACGAACATACTGTGGTAGGTACAAAGGCAGTTATTCACTGGCCTTTATTTGCGATGTTTCGCTCTCACAGTGGGCTGTATGTTGAGCCTCGCTTCGCCCATAGTGTCTCCCTGGCGATGGAGGATTTCTTCAGTGGGTAGCCTGATATACCCACTAACATCACTACCCACTACCACTACAACCATTACCTGCTACCACCACCTCTATCTACTACCACCATTATCACCACTACCCACTACCACAACCACCACCAATACCCACTACCATAACCACTACCCACTACCAGTATCATCACCACTACTACTCGCAACCACCACCACAACCCACCATCACCACCACCACCACCACCACCACCACAACCCACCATCACCACCACCACCACCACTACCCACTACCACCAACACACTCAACTTACCACAAGCAGAAGCAGTGTTAGCAGTGAAGATAACAATGAGAACTGTCATGAAGAACTGGTAGACACAGTGTTGTAGACCGACCAGCCAGTAGCACACAGTCACGAAGATTACGGGATCTATTACGAACCCTGGGATCTGAACACAGACTCAACTTAGGCCTTAATACTTGTATAGTTAAGATAGACTTATTATTAATTATTTTATTATTATTATTATTATTTTTTATTATTTTTATTATTAAAATTATTATTATATTAAATTATTATTATTTATTTATTACTGTTATTTTAAAATTACAAGGACACTATCACAGACAAAATATAACTACCACAACCCCCACCCCCACCTCCACCACCACAACTACCACCACCCCCACCCCCACCACCAAAAACTACCACCACCCCACCACCACAAACTACCACCACCACCACAACTACCACCACCCCACCACCACAACTACCACCACCACCACAACTACCATCACCCCCACCACCACAATTACCACCACCACCACCACCACTACCACCACCACCACCACAACTCACCATAGCCAGCATCTTGGAGATATAGTAAGCATGGCTGCTGTACATGCCGTTCTTGTACTCCCTGAGGAAGAGTGGTAGTTCCTGAGGGAAGATGTTCAACACCCCGTACACTGAGGGGAAGGTGTTCTCTGTTATGAAGATGAAGAGTACACCTTCAATATCCTGAACACCCGCCTGGTTGAGTGTCACGTTGGTGTAACACACACCTATCAGCACCGCCATCAGCTGTGTACAGAGGTGTTTGAGTTACAGGTGTTTGAGTTACAGAGGTGTTTGAGTTACCAATACCAGTGTACGTCAGGAAGGTGCTACTACAGTATTCTGTATGACAGTTACACAGTAAGTTCATTCAGGTACAGATATACATAAATACAGTTACATGTATTATCATACATAGCAGCATATGTGTAGATTATCACTGATGACCCAGAAAAGTCAAAGTGACAATTCCATTTGGGTTCTTGTAATCTCTTATTACATAAAGGATATGTACTAGGAATATGTACTAGGAATATGGCTAGCTGAGTTATTTGTATGTGTGTTAGCTACATATAAAAACCATTCTCCTCCCTTTCTGTCACTACATTCATTAGGTACCTTTTGGCTCTCTTGTAGGTGGCCCGGTGGTCTGGTGGCTAAAGCTCCCGCTTCACACACGGAGGGCCCGGGTTCGATTCCCGGCGGGTGGAAACATTTCGACACCTGTTGTCCTGTTCACCTAGCAGCAAATAGGTACCTGGGTGTTAGTCGACTGGTGTGGGTCGCATCCTGGGGGACAAGATTAAGGACCCCAATGGAAATAAGTTAGACAGTCCTCGATGACGCACTGACTTTCTTGGGTTATCCTGGGTGGCTAACCCTCCGGGGTTAAAAATCCGAACGAAATCTTATCTTATCTTATCTTATCTTCTTTAACTGGCTTATGCTATGAGTGGCTTTGACATGTGCAGGCAGTCTGTTCCACTTCCTTACTGTTACACGGTAAGATGTGTTTGAAGCCTGACCACTGACTAGTGAAGATTTTCTGTTTCTATAAACGAACCAGTACATTAATGAATGGTAGTAATAGTAGTAGTAGCAGTAGTATTATGCAAGATAGTGTACTAGCAGTAGTGATTTTGAATGTAATAGACATTTATTTTTTTTATTAACATATCAGCCGTCTCCCACCAAGGCAGGGTGGCCCGAAAAAGAAAAACTTTCATCATCATTCACTCCATCACTGTCTTGCCAGAGGCTCACTTACACTACAGTTATAAAACTGCCACATTAACACCCCTCCTTCAGAGTGTAGACACTGTACTTCCCATCTCCAGGACATAGGATTCATCCTATAGGTACTTACAATCTTCTGCAGTATCCTGATGACATGTACGTCAGGATTCCTGTAGGAGTCGACCAGGGACCTCCAGGTGAGCCAGGACAGCTGGATCCACCAACTGGGCTGGCGTCTGCAACAACAACAACACCAGCTGCATCACACCATAATAACACCTCAAGTCAGCCACCTGTGGTTCCTACATTACCCACAGTGTGCCAGCTATCACAGGACCTTAATTACCCACAGTGTGCCAGCTATCACAGGACCTTAATTACCCACAGTGTGCCAGCTATCAAAGGACCTTAATTACCCACAGTGTGCCAGCTATCACAGGACCTTAATTACCCACAGTGTGCCAGCTATCATAGGACCTTAATTACCCAGTGTGCCAGCTATCATTGGACCTTAATTACCCACAGTGTGCCAGCTATCATAGGACCTTAATTACCCAGTGTGCCAGCTATCACAGGACCTTAATTACCCACAGTGTGCAGGGTATCATTGGACATTAATTACCCAGTGTGCCAGATATCACAGGACCTTAATTACCCACAGTGTGCCAGCTATCACAGGACCTTACTTACCCACAGTGTGTCAGCTATCACAGGAACTTACCCACAGTGTGTCAGCTATCACAGGACCTTACCCACAGTGTGTCAGCTATCACAGGACCTTACTTACCCACAGTGTATCAGCTATCACAGGACCTTACTTACCCACAGTGTGTCAGCTATCACAGGACCTTACCCACAGTATGTCAGCTATGACTAGACCTTACTTACCCACAGTGTGTCAGCTATGACAAGACCTTACTTACCCACAGTGTGTCAGCTATCACAATACCTTACTTACCCACAGTGTGTCAGCTATCACAAAACCTTACTTACCCACAGTGTGCCAGCTATCACAGGACCTTACTTACCCACAGTGTGTCAGTTATCACAGGACCTTACTTACCCACAGTGTGCCAGTTATAACAGGACCTTACTTACCCACAGTGTGCCAGCTATCACAGGACCTTACTTACCCACAGTGTGTCAGCTATCACAAGACCTTACTTACCCACAGTGTGTCAGCTATCACAGGACCTTACTTACCCACAGTGTGCCAGCTATCACAGGACCTTACTTACCCACAGTGTATCAGCCATCACAGGACCTTACCCACAGTGTATCAGCTATCACAAGACCTTACTTACCCACAGTGTGTCAGCTATCACAAGACCTTACTTACCCACAGTGTGTCAGCTATCACAAGACCTTACATACCCACAGTGTGCCAGCTATCACAGGACCTTACTTACCCACAGTGTGTCAGCTATCACAAGACCTTACTTACCCACAGTGTGTCAGCTATCACAGGACCTTACTTACCCACAGTGTGTCAGCTATCACAGGACCATACTTACCCACAGTGTGTCAGTTATCACA